CACACAGACAGCCTCTTCCCAATATGCGTTTTTGCAATTTGCATATATGCAAAAACGCGTAAAAACTGCCTGATTGAATCTGAATCTGGATTTCACGGAGGAAAATGACGGATGCATTTCCTTTTTTTTTGGATTAATGAAATAACTTTTTAGTCCTTTTTACACAAACCCATGCTTACCGATAGGCGTTCCTTTCGCAATTTGCAAAATGCTGTTAAATCAACAATATAAATAAGAACGTTGATAGCGTCGTAAAATTTCTTCCACTTGCGTCGAGAATGTTCGCTCCCACCAATGTCCAGAATGCTTAATTCAAACCACTCACTACTTTCATTTCGCAGCCCAAGAATTTTTTAGCCAAACGATGGTGGAAATAAAGCGGGTAAGAAGAACGTGAGAACAGAATTGAAATCATTGACGACGCGCACTGGGTGGGTCCGTGCGTTTTGCAATATTTCGTGCTGTAATGAGATCGCTCGAAAAGCTAGTAGCTAGGATTTGTGACGTGCTGGCCCTCGGGAAGTTAACTGTCTATGCGGTGCTTAGACAGGGAACATTCCGTTAAAATTTCAGCTTTCCAACTTCTCTGGTTCTTGACTTAACAATTTTCCTACCAAAAATTTTTATAGTTCGTACATGAGAGTTTGTATCTGGGGACTGAATATGATATTTTTAACTTTTACAGATGGCTGGGAACATTCCCTGAAAATTTTATACTCTAACTTTCCTGGACCCCGACTTAGCCATTTTCCCGTCAAAAATTTTCAGGGGGCCGTGCGTGAAAATCGCGCATGCCTCGGGTCTGAAGTTGATAATTTTAACTTGTACGTGTGTTGGGAACATTGCCTGAAAATTTTTTGGTAGCTTTTCTACTTAACGAGTTAGCGGTTTTCCCGCCAAAGAAATTCCCACCCTCTCATATGTGGAGCCCAGACTTGCAAAGGAATGGTACCGTGGTCCTGGGGTGGCGCTTGGCCGAGGGACCCACTGGCAAAATTCTGACGCCGGAGCTTGCTTGGGTGCCGAGTTGAAATACCCGGACAGACTCACACACAGACACACACACACCACAGTTGACACAACGTGGGTTTTTGCATTTACATATAAGCAAAAACGCATAATGAGGAGTGAAAGGACAATGAGAAACTGAGCTTCTTATTTTCATAACTCTTTCGTCTCTCCTTACCCTCCCAGAATGTGTGAATTTCTTTCGAATGGCACAAATATTTCTAGCACTTTTTGGGCGAAGTTGATGCAGATAAAGTTGCTGTATCCACCACAGCCCAGACAAAAAAAAGTAGCTTGTCTTTTTGCCATCTAAAAGCAACAAAATCATTAGGATTTGCCTGAAGAAAATATAATAAGGCATCTGTTGAAAAGCGAAATTCAAAAGTTTCAGCACCCTAACCTGACTGTTGGTGAAATCGCTTTTCGTTACAAATAGATTTGGCGTTTCCGAATTCAGTCATACGCTTAAGCTCGTTTCACACTTGAGTGCCCACACATGGGAAAAGAAATATTCTTGTAAAGTTATAGTGCACTAATTAGCTTAGTTTCTAGATTGTCATTTCGCCCGTGATAACGAAACCTCAATTTTGATGTGTTAGTGCACGTGACGCAGGCGTGCGATACTGCTGAATTTGAAATCTTTAACTTACACAAATCTTTAACTTTAACCTTGCAAAACTTCTGATTCTTATCTTCTCTGTTTTCCGAAGTTTTTCCAACAAAAAATTTGTACATTTTCCTTTCGGCGTTCGTACTTGACACCCAAGAATGCACGAACGGAAATTTTGAAATGCTAATTTTAAACAGGAATGGACACATGCTGCAAAAGTTTCAGCATCTCAGCTTCTCTGGTTGTTGAGTTGAAAGTGGGTAGCAAAGTGCGAACACACACACACACAAACACACACACACACACACATACAAACAAACACACACAACATTTTGCCAATATGGGTTTTTAGACTTGCACAAATGTGGAAAATCACCTAAAAATTATTCATTCCATTCCTTTTCGTTCTATTTATTCTTTGCATTTTGAAATACTAACACGAATACCTAATTGAAGCGAATGAAGTGCTATAGCGAACTTGATCGATACCAATCGTTGGGGCATAAGAACTTAAGATATCCATTTCTGTTGGAACGTAATCGCTGGCAGCTATCCTTTCAACGTTTTCGAAGAAGCTTTAAAAGATCCACAAATTAATAGAATTATTACTGCAAAATTGTTGTTTTATTTATTTTCTTACAAAAAGCTGAGCTGCAAGATGGCCATACATATCTATTTATTTATATCAAGATTTCCGAAATATCAGTGTGGGATCCCATGCTGGTGATTTGGCTAGGATGTACTCTCATACGCTGGGCAGCTCTTTTAGACGTTTTACCCTGGACTGCACGTTGCCAGCCATAATCCACCGTTTGTTCGACCGGCATATGCGCCATTTCTTCGAGGTTGCCCAGTGTTCATTTACCTTCTTGCGAGTACATACTTCTTCATTTGGTAGCTTCGAGTGCAAATGCAAGAAAAATTCAGAATGGAGCAACTTATAAACTTTGACTTTTAATGATTATCATTTGTAAAACATGTTGGGAACAGAGTGATTTAGCGTAAGATTTAAAGATTCTTGTTTTCTACACTGTAGTCTGCTGTTCAACTGCAAAAGTTATGCTTCCGGAGTGGCGCAAGCTAAGGTTCTCTTCATCCGATGAGCAGAATCAAAGAACATCAAGATGAGCGAAGAACAATCCGACATTTTTTGTCGCATCCATCCCATGTGAACCTGCGCATTTTTTCGTTAATCTGTGCAACTGTGCCGACCAACTAGGGTTCGCTTCTACCCATTCATGATTATGGAAGCTGCTCACTTCATATGATCACATTTGCTTGTGATACTTTATTCATCATCTGTTTTGTCGTGTTTCTGTTATCCGTCGATGCCCTGGGAGATTCTTTATTTTCAGTTTTTGCACCCTCCATCAGTGGAGGATGAAAAAAGCTCAAAATAAAAAATTTTCCTGGGTCTCCTAATTTCAGTTTCTAACTTTTCTCATTTCCGAGTTGGCGATTTTCTGGCCAAAACCACCATGCGCCTGTACGATATCACTCTTCTGGGATCAACTTGGCCAAAAGACACACTGACAATATTTTGGCTACAAAGGTTGCGTGGTTGCTGAGCACAAACACCCGAACAGACGAACACACGTATAGGGTCGTGGCAAAATGTGTTTTGCTGCCCGTTACAGCGCTTTAGCAATGCACGGCAAAAACGCATTAAAAAAACGTATAATGATGAGAGAAGCACAAAACGTGCAAATTTGCAGCTTTAGGTGAATTTGATTCTCACTTTCTTGTGGTCACACTCAATATCTAGCCACTTTAAAAAAGTTGGTTATGCCTTTGCAGGCACGAGGACTACATTCTAAGCTTGCCAACTTCTTTGATGGTGAAGCTGAAAACACCTGTGAGATACGCACAAACATGCACACACGCAAACGCATGCATTCAAAACGCATACAGAAAAGGAGTTTCTGCATAAATGCTAAAATATGAAAAACTTACTATTGTATATTTTGAACAAGCGATAATTTATAACATGTTCGAATCAGTTTTTGGATTGTCGGATCTTTTGGAATTTCAGTGAGCGCCTGAAGCCAGCTGCTACTCATGTTCTCAAATGATTTACTTGATAGAACCGTATTAAAGTTTTTCTGGAAAAAAGTAAAGCTGAGGGAACAAGAATTTATTTTGCTAGAGTTTGAGCAGAAATATTTAATTCTGTTTCCAAACTTCCTATTTTTGCATTTCCATAGAGGCGCATCACTTCATCCAACCGTCGAACTGGTCGTTCTTTCAGGATCGGCTTTGTAGCTTCCGTTTGCAGTCCACTTCGTCAATCTCCACCACATAATCAAACGTATGCAGTAATTTCGTCAATCCAAAGTAAAACCTCAGCACTTCAGTGATTGCCTGTGAACGTGGGATGCATGTTGCTTTTATTAGCTCATCAAGATAGTGCTTACTTCCCAACTTCAGCAAGCGCTATGTTCTTTGTATCACATCCATAAAAAAGAGCCGATGAAATGCTAAAATTGCGAAGTGATGTTTTCACAGACACCGCTATGTTGTTGCTGAAAAGGAAGACTTTTCACGTTATTCTTCTCTACTGCTCCCTGCTGAAATCGTTGTTCATCTTATTGTTTACCTCATTTAGAACATAACTCTCCACAGGTACAACAGATTGCTTCATTAGCTCTATTGAACTAAGTACCTATGTACATTCTTCACTTGCTTCGTCTTTCTCCGCAGAACTGAAGCACTTCCTTGTGTACTGTTGCAAATTATTTGCAGAATCTTTTTACGACTGTGAGCACAACTTAAGCTGGGAAAAAAGGACATCGTCGTACACCGTCGATATCCTTTTTTTATTTTAGGCTTTTGCAAGATTCTTTATAAAATGCGCATAAAAGCTTGGGTAACACAAGTACTAATTTTTTATGCGCTTCTGCCTATATGCAAATTGCAGAAACGCATATTGGTTTCCCAGCCCATATATGACTTAAATTTATCAAATTCAGCCCCCAGTCATCCGTGGTTCTCACGTATGGCCCCGTGAAATTTT